ATATTTTATCAAAAAAATTCTTTTTATAATTTTAATATATAGAGATCCCTTAGCAAAAAAAACAGTAAGCTGTTTTAAAATTTAATCTTTAAATAAATATATCTTGTGCTCTAGTGATTAGAATAAAATAATTTTTATATCTTTAAATTCATTTTATTAAAATAAATCTAATTATATAAAATTATTTAATTCAGATCACTAGATTATAAGATATACTTATTTAAAAATCAAATTATAAAACAGTCCATTGCTTCTTTTGCTATAAGAGTTCTCATATACAGTCAGACCTCTCTATATTTACCTTCTTTATAATTATATTTGATTATAATTACAAATTTTTAAAACCAACTTATATAATATTTATAAAATTTAAATTTATATAGGTACAAACTCTTTATAAGCATCAAATTCTTAAAACTAACAATATAATTATATAAAGATTTGATTGTACTTTTAATTCTAATTTTTTTTAACTCAATCTATTTCTAATTTAATATTAACTTTAAAATTAGCTTAATACAAGCCAATGTCAATCAATCTACATCAGAAAAATTTTAAAAATAATATATATTATTAGTAATCTCTATATTACTATTGATATATAGCACTCCCATTGGATATTATTATTAGTAATTTGTAATGATATATATTAAAATTTTATTAAATTTTCTTAAACTTTGAATTTAATTTTCTCAATAATTAGTAATACAAATTGACTCAAATTTTTACTGTAAATAATAAATATGTTCAACTATAATATACTAAAGTTTTAATTAATTTAAATTAAAGTTCTTAAAAAATCATTTGTATCTTTCCTAAAAAAAGAGCATTAACTTGAGATATTGCTTTTACTCCTTTTTGTCTAGTTGCTAACTTTTTTATGCATTCTTTTAAGTAGGTATAAGCCTGCTTAAATTGATATAATATTTGTAAAGAAATTCTTTTAAAAATTTCTAGTAAATAAGAAATAATATCTGCATTGTTGATGAATTTATAACATGAAGATAGTTAATTTTTTTAAAAAACTTAACTATTGTTTACAAGTGATTTTTTAAGAATTATTAATTTAAATTAGTTAAAACTTTAGTATATTATAGTTGAATATATTTATTATTTACAGTAAAAATTTGAGCCAATTTGAATTACTAGTTATTAAGAAACTTAAATTCAAGGTTTAAAAAAATTTAATAAAAATTATAAAAATTATTACTAATTGATAATAATTATAATCATTTATAATCATTATATATTGATAATTATTATATATCATTAGTGATATATACCAATATATAGCAATTTAATCAATATATAGCAATTATTTTTAATTGATATATATTAATTAAATGCTATATATCAATATAAATCTGCTTAAAAATTTTGTTGATGTAGGCAGATAAATAACAAAGCCTTGTATAGTATAAGCTGTAAAACATAATTCTGGAAGCATATAAAAGAAGGTAATTAATGTAACATAGTAACAATTAACAACTATGTCAATTATCTACCTAATATAAGCTTTTGAGAATTATTATTCTTAAAAGTTATATAGATCAATTAGCAAATACAAGAGTAATAGTAACAATAAGAGTTTTTAAGAAGATATTGCAATTAATGAGATATACAAGAATTAAAAGTTTTAAGTAATAAGAAACATTAAAGAGATATAAAGAAAGATAATACATTTAATAGAATTAATACATTTAGTCTTTAAAAAACATAATAATATATAATAAAGACTTTGAGTACTAAAAGAACAATTTCAGTTTTTTGTACTTATTATAAATTTTATCTATATAATAATTTTTAGTTTTATTGTATTATAAAATCTATGATTATAAACACACTACTCTCCAAATCTAACTACCTCTTATTAACTAAACTGTTTATAGATTATATAATATATCTTATTGACAAATAATTAACTTATTATTTTATTTATATCAATAGATTTTATTTGTGATTTATTACATCTTTATAACAAATAAAAAAAAGATATAATTCTTTATAAGTAAACCTTTATGATTAGAACAAGTGTAAAAATTATTTTTTTTATATGCAAATATAGATAATTAATTTTGTTTCAAAAAAATTTTTTCTTTTAAAACTATATATACTATTATAATTTCTATATATCTGTTCTAATTTGTATTTTTATACAGCACCAATTTACTATATACTTATAATAATTATCTGTTATTTTATTATATTTAATATACTAAACTAAACTAACTAAGCTAAATATAAAGAATCAAATAAAAATATAAAGATATAATATAAAAAAGATAATAATAAAAAATAAAAAAATAGTATAATTATAATCCATTACATGCATATTAATATGAACTAGCAGGTTCAGAATGACACTACTAGAAAAAAAATGTAATAAATTGTCACTTAGAAAATGTTAATATTGTAATTACTAAATAGTGAATTAATTGCTAAATAGTCTAATTTCTTATATAACTTTTTGAAAAAGTAATTTGGATCAAAAAAGAAGTGTTAAATTTGTTGAATGGTTTGTTTGGTAATAGTTAGATTTACTAGTATAAAGTCATAAGTTAGAGACAGTTACATAACAATAATTGTATTTTAATAAAGATATCTATTGTTATTATTAGCAAACAGTTTTTATAAGTAATTATATATTAAATGTATTATGTATTAGTTGCAAAGAGGAAGTTGTTCTTCTTAAAAGACCTTTTCAGTCTTTATTTATAATTAAAAATCTCTATTCATAGTATGTAATGGATATGACTAATATCTGATGCTGCTAATCAGTTATAATCTATTGATATTTCTCTTCTAAATAATTGCTACTATCTATTATATTTGATACATGCATCACATATAATTAATTGGTCATATATGACAAATGTGATAGATGTAATTAACTCCTATTCTAATTAGGCAATAACTTACTCTGAAGGCTAAAGTCTATTTAGGTTCCACAATATCATATAATATTACTAAAAAGCAAATAAAATAGTTATGATTTGGCACTAATTAAAGACAGCTTTGAGAGTGTTACAAAAGAAATTTAAATATAATATAAATAATTAAAGGAATGTACTGTTTATTTTGATTTAGATCTCAAGTTAAAACTATATTAATTATAAAATTTTTATTAAGATAGGTTTATTTTTAGCAGTTCAAATGTTATAAGGTAAAAAAGTAGAAGATCAAGAGATGATTCAGCATATTTACAAGAAGAAAATTCAAACTATATTTATAAAAAATTATAAGAAAAAAAAAGAATTTCAAACATGACTTTGACATCCTTTTTCTCATTAATCTAAGCTGTTTTATTCTTATTTGCTAACACTTTTCTCTTTTTTCTACAACACATCAGTTATTACTTTAGCATTTTTTCATTAAATTTTCATTCCTTCATAATAACACACCACTTAACACATAATGATGCATTAGCACAGCTACAGACTTTATCTGTCAAGGTAATATTACCTTAATAGATGTCTTTCAAATCAAGCAGGTGACTTTTTCTCAATGGGATTGGTGTTGTCAATAAATAGGAACCTGATTTATACTGGATCATGGCATCATGGTACATTTCATGGGTCATTACTTGATTATTCTTCTTGATCCTAGGATCAGATTTACCCATAACAATACCTAACAAGTTAGACAAGACTAGTGATAAGAAAAATGCACATTTTATAATAACATGTGCATGAATACACATTAATGCACATGAAATGTTTCATGCGCATGATATCGCATGATAAAAAAGGCCAAAAAAAGAAAAACCGTTCAAGAGGAGAGAAAACTTGATGGGTTAAAATGCGCATGAAACCCATCTCTAGGCAAGACCAATTTAATTTATTGGTTTATCTTCCTTTCTTAAAAGAGACGAAATGATTGTTTATAGAATAAATTTTATCAAAATTTTTTTTACCCAAAAAAGATCCACCTAACTTTGCTCATCTTTCATGTTTATTCAATTTTTTTGGAATTTTTTAGAAAATCATATATATTCTAAATTTTTTTTTACTAGAAGAAATGACAAAACAGAGTAATTTAAATCACTAAATTAAATTGGTTTGACCTTGTACAATAATATTGAAATTTTAATTTAACAAATTGGATTCTTTATTTGACTAATATTAATAAATAAACTATGAATTACGATATAAGCTCCCGTTCCTGGTTTTGCGTGACAGCGTCGCGCAGCTACCTTACTATAATAACCCATATCTGCATCTTCTAGTTTATGTAATTAATTACTCAAATTGGATATATGTACTACGCCATCCACGTTGATTAATCTATGATCTGCTGACAGCATTACAAAGAATTGGTTGAACAATGAATAAGCTTCAGATCTAAGTATTTATGGTAGAAAGAATCGTTAGACTGTTTCAGAAGAATTTCCTGGTTAGATTATACTAATTCTATCCATAATATTTGGTTATTGTTATCTACATGATGCTAGATTCGAAAAATGCAATAAACTTTTTGTATAATACAAAATAGAAAAAGTCACCGAGAAATACAAATTTTAGGATGCATGTTTAAAACTTTTTTTTAGGGTCAGCTTTAGGAGTAGGATTTATAATAAACAAGTTTAAGTGTCATTTAATCTGGTTTCATTATGATCCGCGACAATTATTATAAAAAACGCTGATAAGTAAGTAACAGGCAGGTTTCATAATAAAGAAAATAATTTCTATTATTCAGCAAGAATTGATATTTTTAATCAAACAAGTATGTAGTAAATTTGATGAGCAAGTTTTAAATAAATTATTTATTAATTTATGTCTAGAAATTTATATAAATTTAACAATATTTTTAACATTAAGTTTAAAGAAATTTTCATAAATTATGATGTTTTACTGATTATTATCCTTGCACAATAATCAGTTTTATAAAAAATAAGGACAATTATTGATATAAGATTCACTAGACAAACCATTTATTCATGATTTTGAAAGTTGACATCTATGACAATTGATGAAACCCGAACCAGTTCGATTTTATCAATTTTAATGATTGGTATTATGATGATCGTTAAAACAATCATTATAAGTGCATGGTGGATCTGAATCTAATTTGAGAAAAGAAAAAATTAAATCATACTTCAAGGCCACTATGAATTATCACAAGAAACTTACTTGGATTATTATGAGGAGGCTTAGGAGAATTCTGAGGATTCGGTGAATTCTGAGGCTTCGGTGAATTCTGAGGCTTCGGAGGTCCATGATGCTTAGGATGAGCCACTGGGACTGCAGAAGTCATAGAAGAGACGATGATGACGATTAATAGAATAATGAATACACGCGGTTCCATAATGAAATTTCTAGAAAAAAAAATTTATTTGACTATAATAAGTTCAATTTTTCTATGAAAAATTAAATAAGAATATAAAACGTTGACTTCGGTTGCAGTCTGTTTTAAAGAGAGTTTGATTGCAGCAATTAAAGCTGCGTGGCAATTGAATTAAAAAAATGCGATGTAATTTTTTTAAAGTTTTCAACGTTTAAATAGAGAATTGTGAACATCTATTACAAATAATTTTGTTAATTTATTTGCATATTAACTTTGTGTTTCTTTGTCCTATGAAAGTTGTGAATCCAAATGTGTTAACATTCGAAACTATTTATCCAACATTATAATTAGAAAATATAAAGAATTTGCATGCATTCTTTGAATAAGTGCACCACTTAAAAGCATGAATCTTAAAGTATATTCATAGTACAAAATTATTCCGAAATTAGAACACGTTTTGCTTCCATTAAGTCAGAGCTTGATGCTTCACTCCTAATTTAGTCAATGCTCTCTATAGATATTTCGAAAAAAAAAACTATGTATAATGAACGATATTGTGTATCAGTAAGTATCAAAATTGCTTTGTCTATTACATCAGTTACACAATTTGTAAGCGCATTTAATAAAAATAACTGATAATGCACACTCAAATCATATTATTTACCGTTACACTGCTATATGCTCTCCGGAAAAAAGTCACCGACTTGAAGATCCTTTTCATAATAGAACATAGTAAAACATTAAACTTTTACGTTATGTTATTAAAAATTTTTAATCTTTTATTACAAATCTCACCAATCATAATTTAAATAAATGCTTTGTTTAAATTTTTTTTATAGCTTATTAATAAAACTTTAACTTTTCCTATAGCGCATAAAAATTTAATAGTTACTTCCTATAGCGCATAAAAATTTAATAGTTACTTCCTATAGCGTATTAAAGCTTTAATGGATATTATCTTCAAACTGATTATAGTAGCAAATCAGCAAATGTATATAAACATTGTGATAAATACTTCTATAATACAATTTGATGGGTTCTCGAGCGCCTCACTCAATGGATCCGAAGTAGGTTTTTTAATTAGCAAGTGATTGAATAAATTAGCCAAATTAGTCAACTAATTCAATTAAAGGTTCATTGAGTGAATCCTTTAAATTAATGTGACTGAAATTAATTGAATAACGCTTGATATTGGCACGATCTACGCTGTTATCTTGGCAGTTATCTAGTTATTTAATACTAGAAAACGGAAACCGTTATAAGTCCGGAGCGAAATCACGTGAGATTTGTTGTGTTACACGAATATGCAAGTGAGACAGACGGAAAATTCAAAGGTACGTTTTTGATATTTTTATTATTAATGCATCAATAATGAAACTTTTGGTGCATCAAAAACGTAACTTTTGTATCACTTTGCATAGAAATTGAGCGTCCTCCGCTACGCTCCGGACAATTACATAAAATTACTGAAATTTTACATCCATATTAAATAGGTGGTTGTGATTTCATTAGTAAAATTTTGAGTAATTCCGGCCAAAATTTTTGATCGTCGATCTTAGCTAATCAGAATCGAGAATCTACCGGGACAATTTTGTTGCAACTCAGGCTTCACCATGTCATATCATAATTTCTAATATGAATCTGATACAGATCGATACTATCAAATACTTCCATAGACAGTTGAGCTTTAATTCGCTCATATCTTCATTGGTTACTTCAACGAAGGTACAATAACATGGATAACACAGTTTTATTATAGATATTTTGATCCACTAAGTACTATAATATTGATAAATTTATCAATGGGTGAGTACACAGCAAACCATACTTTGAGAATATGTATTCTATATACTCAAAAGCATGGTTTTGCTGTGTACTCACTCATATTTTATTATGAAGAAACACCTCTTTTCAATTTTGTGATCGAAATCATTGGAAGCATATTCATAAACGAATACAGTTTTATAAAATGTGATCAGGTTTATCTAAATGATAAAGTGAAGTACGTACGTACTGTACGTACGTACATATGTATGTAAATATTTGTGCTACGTATTTTATCATATATGTATATATGATACGTATAATGCAAAATGAAGATTAATTTTGCTGTAACATCTCAGAATTATGGTCGATGAATTTAATTATAAAAGAGATAAAGGTTATGGAATATGTGCAAATTGCAAGCGATATAACACATCTTCCGCTTGGTGTCAAACATGTGACCCTCAGAAAATAGTACAAGGATGGACAAGTAGAAATAAGGAAATCGACAATTGCATTAAAGAATATCAACTTAAAACTACATCTTATGAAGAAGTAATTGAGTGGATTCCTTTTAATAGATTAGTGAATATTCAAAACGTTGGAGATAAGGTTTTAGCAACCTGGATAGATGGAATACGTTATGTAAAAGATGACGATAAAGCTGAATATGGATATAGATATACACAGTCACGTACGCCAGCATGCGCAATTACACTTAAAATATTGAGTAGAACACAAAATAATCCAAATATCTTAAAAGAAGTGAGATTATATTTAATTAATAGTATGCAAATTTAATTTATACTCTTAATATATACTTATATTATTTATATATTTTATAAGTTTAAAAACCATGTGCAATTAGAGCGTCAAGGTGTCTGTGGGTTAACTCAGAACACAATCACAAATGAATATATGTTAGTATTTGATGAATTTAGTTCTAAGAGGGACGGATTTAATGGAAAATGTGCAAATTGCGAGCGATATAACACATCTGAAGCTTGGTGTCAAACATGTGACCCACAGAAAACAGCACAAGGATGGACAAGTGAAAATAAAGAGATTGATGATTGCATTAAGGAATATCAACTTAAAGCTACATCTTATGAAGAAGTAATTGAATGGATCCCTTTTAATAGATTAGATGATATTCAAAACATTGGCGATAAAGTTTTGGCAACCTGGTTAGATGGAATACGATATATAAAAGATAAATATAGTAATAAATATACACAGTCACGTATAGAATCATATAAAGTGGAGCTTAAAACATTAACTAGAACACCAAGTTTAATAGATACGTTAAATGAAGTAAGTTAAAATATTTAATCATTGTTACATGATATATAGCATTTAATACATTAATATATTGTGTATTTACATGTTTAACTGTTAATAAGTTTGTAGATTATGTACAATTAAAGAATAGTTTTTTTAAAGTATATGGTCTAACGCAAAACACATCCACAAACGAATATATGTTAGTATTTGATGAGTTTTATAATTTAAGAGGTGGATCTAATGGAAAATGTGCAAATTGCAACCGAAATAACACATCACCAGCATGGTGTCAAACATGTGACCCACAGAAAACAG